ATCTTCAATGCCATTGCAAATTTGGAAGCACTCTTTTGATGCTTGAATGCATGGAAATTTCATGGGCCACCCTTATGTTATATTGAATCATTTTTCTAGGTACAAAGGTTGACTACTTCATTGATACGAGTTGAGGCAAAGGAGGTTTTAATCTATTGATCAGTAATTGTGAGATAACATTATAAACAAAGTTACATAAGGATATAAGTCTAAATTAAGATAATGATTTTGGATTTTTGACCTTCTAAATCAAGACAATGCTGGTTTTGTTAAGCTTTTTCAATAAATATTCAGTACTTCAAAATTGAGTCACTACTTGGAAGATATCCTTTTCCAACAACTTCTAATGGCAATGGAAAAAAGCTCTAGGGAAACCATCTAGACTTGATGCTTTAAAAGCCCCCAATTAGAAGGCTGCTTGCTTAACTTCCATTCTTTGAATAGGTTGGCTTATCAATTGATTAATATTTATTGTGACAACAAGTGTAATATAACTCAAGACCTCCCTGAAGTCTTGTGAAATTGGGGCTTCGTATCGGTAAAACATTTTAGCATAAATAAACTTAGAGATGGCTTTACCATCAATAAGCCATTTGCCTTCATCATCAAGTAGTTGTTGTATCAAGTTTTTTTGGCACCTTCTCAGAGCAACATTATGGAAAAAAACTTGCATTGCGATTCCCGTGTTTAATCCGGTTCACACGAGATCTCTAAAATCAATATGCCTTTTCTGTAGCCCATGTTGAACCACCTTTTTCTACATTTCTAGATTCTTGTCATCTAATGGTTGTGTTTGTAAATTATTAAGTTTCTACTTAAGCTCTTCAATTAGTTGTCATGGATTACCAAAATTCTTTTTACTCCACTGACTAAGAGCCAATTTGCAAGATTTCAATTTATTAAGGACATGAAATTATGCAGAACCATTGACCTCTTATTGCCAACCTTGGATCTCTTAGTTCATATGCCCCTCACCAAGTGTCTATTTAATCTCATACCTAAATGTCTTGTGTGGTTGCCAAAAGAAGGCTCAAGTACTCAAAATTAATGGGCTATGATCAAAGCTTACTCTTGGTTTGTGGAGGACTTGATAGTGAGGAAAGATGTTGCACCATGATTGATTAGTAAGTGCCCTATCCATTCTCTTTTGAACATTAGCAGATGCTAATCTTTTGTTTGACCATGTGAAAGGATTTCCTTTGAAACCTAAATCTAACATGTGCCCTTCATCTATAACTATTCAAAATAGAAAAAAGTGGTGGACATGGATAAGAAAGACACACCACGTCACTTTGCTATGCTCTCAATAACATTAAGGTCTCTCATTACTAACCATAAGATAACAAGATCTTGAGCAAAACAAAGACAATCTTGCCAAAGTCATCCTCTTTAAGAGTGATAAAGACTCCCATATATAAAACTAAAATGCCAAATATGATTAGCCTTCGGATCACGGCATCTCCCATCAAAACACCAATTTGTTTGCTCAAAAATTGCCACTTGATCATCTTCCATCCATCATAAAGCAATTCCTCCCAGTCAACCTTGAGGTTCGAAATAGACACCAAAATGAAACCTCCATTGCCATCATAATCTATCCACAAACCAAGCTAATTGCTTAGTCTCCATAAGAAAAACCAACTTTGGTTTATACTTAAAACACAAGTTCTTCAAATTCCTTCTTGTCAAATTTGGTCCAAAACCCTGGCAATTACAACTTAAAGGACACATGGCTTTGAAATCATGAAATCTACCTAAAATCACAACACATACCCATAAATATAGCTCCACTAAATATGAGAAATTGAGGAGGCAAAAGGATTTTTTTTAGGTCAAAGTCTTAAAAAAGAACAACACTATAGTCAAAACTATGGTGGAGTCGAAGTTGGTATTGTACAAGGAAGAAAATAGCTAAAGGGAAATTATGGGAAATGAAGGTTTAAGGAGAATTGCTAATAGGAAATTAAAGGTGATGAAGAAAAGGAGGGTAGAAATGAATTAGAAAAGTTGACCTTACAAGAGATAGCACTAGAACGCATAAAGGCCTAGAAAACTTTAGAAATTCTAGAGAGTTTCAAATTTTAACTCGTTTTTAGTCCTCTGTCAAATTGTAACTTAAATGGTAGAATTCTTACATGGCAAAAAAGTTATATAGGTAGGATTTATAATATGGTAAAATGCGATGACATGGCACCATGAAATCTTTAAAACTTATCAATTCACAATTTTGCACTTTTTTATTTTTTTTTCTTCCCATTTTTATTTCTTTCCCCTTCATCCTCAAAACCTTAATATACCTTTTTTATCCTTTGTCCCCCTCCCACATAGTTGTCCTCATTGTTGGACCTAGAACTCATATCGATTCTTTAATTTTTCTTATTCTCCCTTCACATCTCTTACTAGGAACTGTGGTTTGATCAAACATGGGTGCACCATTTTGTTTTACAAGTTATGCTTCACCATTCACCACCAATGCAAACATTACCATCATTCCTTTAGATCTTCTCAAAGATTGTTCCCCTAGGTTTAGGCATGTTAAAAATGTGGTTAGATTTTGAGGTGTTTTGAAGGGGAATTTGTAAGACAATCACCAAAATAATGTGGAAAATGGAAACCACAAAAACAAACTTAAATTGAATTGATGAGTTGTATGAAATTTGAACTCCCTTGTAGTTGCAGAACCCTAATTTCTTCATAATTTATCAAAGGTCCATTGTTTGGTTATTGCATTTCTTTTTCACAATTTTATTTTTCTTTCTATTATTTGAGTTTGATTCAATTTTGTTTGGTAATTGATTGGGTTTAATTTGATTTAGTTATAGGAATATCTTGATTGGCATTGGAGAAAAACATCTTCAACATATTGTACAAAGAAAGGCATGGTTTTAATATTTGATTTTATTACTAATTTAATTACTGTAAATTTCACCTAAAGAAAGTTAGAGAAAAAGTGAAAATAAGAATATGAACTTTATCACCTTTTTCTATTTAAGAATGCAAACTATTAGTTTTTAAATAGGTTAGTAAACTTTCAAACTTTTTATATTTAAAGATGATAATTTTGAGTTTTTTGTATTTAAGAATTAATTGGATGGTGATGCTATTGAGTTTCAATGATGGTTTTGATGATAACAAAATCATTGTGAAAAGTCTAATAAGTTTTGTGCTAGTGTGCAAAAAAAAAAAAATTTTGAATAGTCTCCATTTGATGCCAAACTAATCTCTATCTGTTCAATTAAGAATAAATCAAATTATTATTGGGGTTTTGCCTCAAGAATTAGTTCATGTGAAAGTAGACATCTCAAGCTTTCCAACAAGTATAAGAATGTTCAAAATGGAGAATGAGAAAGATATGAGTTGTCAAAGTTGGATGAAATAGTAAAGGCATAATGTGCTAAAAATGTCCCAGAGAGCCAACTTTGACCTTAGAGCTAGCTCTTTTATTCAAGAACTAATATATATAGCTTGGCACGTGTGGGAGATGGATGCCAAGTTGGCTTAGATTTTTGTAGTCTGTTGTAAGGATGCATTTAATTTTCTAATAATCAAAAAGTTGAAAGATTTTTTGAAATTTTTGGACCCAACTTTCTTGTTTGGACTTTGAGATTTTCAGATGAAGCAAGATAGTCGACTCTGACTATAATAGCTGGCTATATGAAGCTGGCCCTATTGCAAAAGTCTACAGCATGTTTTCTCTCGCCTCATGGTCTATAATGCATTAAATGGACTCCAACTACTATAAACAACTAGTTTTGACCTTAGCTCTATAAATATGGTTGGTAAACATCTTGGAGAGCCTCTAGACACATATTAAAGGATAAAAAACAATAGTTGCGCTTAGATTTGCAAAATCTTTTCAAAAGTTTGGGCTTACATTTGTAAATTAGATCTTTGAAAGATCATATCCTTTGTAATCTTTCTTTCTACCCCTTCTTTGTGATCTTAGGAGTGAGTGACGCTCCAAGAAGAGATACTTGAGGGTGAGTGAAGCCTTCAAAAGAGAAACCAAGTGAGTTTGCTGGGGTTCTTTGTAAAGGGGAGTGTTTGAGTGAAAAACATATTATAAAAGGATTAGGTAGCTTCTTTAAGCTACTCTTAAGCATTAGTGGAGAGTGTGGAGGAAATCCTTGCTAAGTGAAGCCAAGGTAGAGGATTAGATGCCAAGCGGTTAGACCAAACATTTATAAAATCAATTGTACAAGTTTTCTTCTCTACTCTCTTTATGTTTCATCAAGTGGTTGTAAAATGAAGAAAAATTGGAAAACTCTGATGAGCTAAATTCACTCTAACAAGATTACTAGTCAATCCAAGTAATATAATGATGAAAATAGAGTATCATTTCACAGAGATTGTACACTAATTACATACCAAAATTAACTAATTTTAATTTTATTTGAACAATTGAAATTAAATTATTTGAATAAAGTAACTAACTAAAAAAATTAAAGAAAAACTATATTGACTTTGAGTAACACCAAGAGTTAAAATTCTAAGGTATTCGATTTTACCATAATCAATCAAAATAGAATTTATATTAATATACTTGCAAGGTATCTATTATTTATGTGATAATGAGATTTTCTATTCTATTTGATATACTTTCTCAAGTTATATCAAATCTATCTTCACTTATTAACTCATTATATGTCTATGTGAATTTAAATAGATAAAAATGCATTATGTTCTATGAAATTCCCTAGTTTACGTAAAAAATTAAGTCCATTTATCACTAATACTGCACCAATCGCGTTGATCCATATCTGACTTTTGTTTAATTCGTGCTATATATTACTAGAAGCTCTCGCATAAAATCTCTTGTTGGTCTCAATTATGCTCTCCAAATCAATTTTAATGGTGGTCAATCATTGAAAAGCATTAAGAACAATAATATATACTCTATATAAAATAATAAACCTTGAAAATATAAAAATCATGAAATTCTATATCAAATTAATCAAGTTACATTATAGCCTTAGATGGCTAAATTAGTTCATAATGAAAGAAAAGAAAATCAGAAATCCCATAATGAATATAAAAGTATCCAACATTAGAAATAAAATTCAAGGATAAGCAAAACCAGGTTGATGATATAAGATTTTAAGCCTTGATCTTCTTTTGTTGTTAAATTCCTCTTAGCCGTTTCTTTCTTGGTCTCCTTCCTAAAAGCCTTAAATTTGATTTTTGAATGGGTATTTATAGAGTTTAATAAACCCTATTAGAAAAAAAAAAAATTTAAGACAATGGAAAGACCTAGGGTTCAAGCGAGGGATGCGGCGACCAAGAAAGACAGCTCCTCCACACGATGGCAAGGGTAAGTGTGGTGGGATACAGGATTTAGGAACAGGTTTTTGGAGCATCCAAGGGTGTTCTTTTTCTACAATTTTCTAGAGAGGTTGGTTGCAATAGATTTATGGTGTTGTTTTAAGGTGCATGGGCATGTAGTGGATGTGTATGTGTTGAGAAAGAGGGATAAATGGGGCACTACAAGAAAATTTACATTTAGTGACTAAATTATTAATCATTAAATCTTTATTTTTTATTACAAATTATTATTAGTGATAAAATTTAAACCGTTAGTAAAACCCTTGTCACTAATGCTCTTAGTGACAAATTAGGCGCCTGTCACAGAAAATAATCTTATAGTGATAGAAATAATTGACATGGTTAACAAGTTATTTATAATAATTTTATTCGTCACAAAAAAATATTTTTTGTTACAATAATTTTCATCACAAATGTTACAATTGAGTGATAAGAAAAATAGTCACAAATGCAATTGTGATGAAAAATTTAGTCATTAATTATTAAAATTGATATTAAATAAAAAAGATATTTATGTAATTACAACACAAATATTGTAACAAAAATTTTGTCACAAAAAAATAATATATAAATTTATCACAAAAGTTTAATAAAAATATTATTATTTCAATACTAATCAATTTTGATTAAAATTAATCAAGCCCGATTAAAATTAATCAAACCCAAACTAATCTCAAGTTTTATTGAGTTTCACATGTTTTACAGTGCAAAAATTTATTTTCTTAAATATTTCTCATCGATGTGGGATATATTTATAGTGTAAAACTTTATTCTCTTATGTGTTTTTTTATCGATGTGGGATGCATTGATTAGAGAAAACTGACAATTTTTTTTGGCAAAATATATTTTTAGTAATGAATTATTTGGTCATCATTGAATGTGTAAGGTATATGTGACCAATATTAGAATTCTATCATAATTGTAATGCATTATAGTGACGATTTTTATCAACAAAATCTTATTTTATCTCTATGAACATTTTTCGATGACGAAATATATTTTTTATGATGAATTTTTTTCTTCATAATTAAATATGTATGAATCTGTGACTAATTTTTTAGATTTGTCACAATTGTGATAAGTTATAGTGATGATTTCAAAATTCATCACAAATTTCTGTCACTAAAAACCATTTTTCTTGTAGTGGGGGCAAAGGTTTGGTTTTGTTCGTATGTTGGGTGTGCAGGATGTGTATCAAATGGAGATGCGACTTAATGGGATTTGGATTGGTTTGTATAAGTTGTGAGTGAAAGTTGTTGAAGATAGATAGAAGAGAGTCTTTATAGATCAAAGGAAAACAAGAGTCGAGAATGAAAGGAGGACAGATGTGGAAGGACAGCTTGGTTCAGCCACAGCAGTCTTATGCACAAGCTGTTGTTGGAAAGAGTCAAAGGTTAGAAGGAACAATTAGGGAAGGTCACCAGGATAAAGTTTTGGTTGGTGAAATGGTGATACATAATCCTGTGCAGAATCCACTTTCACCAAACGAAGAGGTTAGTTCTTCTGCTAAGCAGGGAGACAATAACAATCACCTAAGTTCTGCTAATTTCATTGAGTTTTCTCTAGAGAAAGAGGAGAATAAGTGGCTAGATGGGAGTATGGTGGTTGAGGTGAGATCAGTGGCGATGATAACAAGCATTCAAGCTAGCTAGATTGGATGTTGATGAGGTGTCCATTACCCTATCACCTTTAGGAGGTAGGAGGGTGCTGCTAATTGAAAAAGTAAAGGGTTACTTGCTTGAATATATGTAGCAAAATAAGGAGCTGGTTGATATGTGGTTTGTATCAATATTACCATGGGTAATGGCACTTCAAAATAGTCATAGAATGGTATGGTTATGCATATCTGGGATTCCATTGAAGGCTAGGATTGATAGATGTTGCTAGTTGATTGCAGAGTCATTTGGGGAGGTGATATTAATTCATGTTGATACAAGGAAGAAAACTATTTTGTGTGATGAAAAAGTAATGATTCTTTCTCCGGAAATGAGTAAAATCTTCAAAATAGTTAAGTTGAAAATGGATGAGCAAATGTATAAGATTAGGGTGGTTGAGGAAGAATGGCGTTTAGATCCTGATTGGTGGTTGTCGGAATGTGATTAGCAGAGTATGCTGGAAGATGAATCGGAATATTCATCATCACAAAATATGGAAGAGGATCTCGAATTGATTAATAATGAGATTAACGGTGAAGATGTTGTTAGCATTGATGAGGAATTGTTAAAGAAAGCGAGTAATTTGAATTTTAAAGGTGCTGATGTAACAGTCGATGAGGGTATTTTTCAGAAAAAACAATGGGAATGTGGTGGAGGGGGTGATGATGTTGGGCCAAATAAGGAGACAATTGGGCCACTGGTAGGTGAGTTGAATGGGCTTGAGAATGATGTTGGGTTGGAAGAGGTTCAGAATTATGGATAAGCAAATGAGGGTTGGCTTCGGGTAGGCCAATGTCATAACAGAGAAGGGGTCAACGGGGGTAATGTCGAGGAGATAAGGCTAGATTGTGAGCAGGGTGATTCTAGTTTGCTCTGCAGAAGGCAATGAGATCTTGAAGGATGTTATTTACAAAATCAGCCAGCAATTGGGGAGGTGAGTGCATAGTGGGTCATAGCTAGAATGAAACAGCATCAAGGTCGTAGGAAGAAGGCTCAACAAGCTGCAGAGGAAAAGGTTGTGGGAGCTGGCAGTGGGTCTCTTTCGGATGGGTGCATAGCACATCGAAACTAGGTGATTCAGAGGGAGATGAACCTAAATGAGGTTAAGAAGATGCCTAGTGTTGGGAAGAGGTTAAGGATTTAGTTTCAAGCTAATGAAGAGGAGGTGGAGTCTAAATTGTGGTGGTTGAAGGGAGGGATGCAGTGCAAGGGAGAAGAACGTAGGGGTTTACAGAGGCGTAGGTTGAGTGGGTTGTGGGGTTTCAGTTTTGATGAAGTTTTTACCTTTTAATGTGAAAGGGTTGGGAGGTATGTTAAAAAGGAAGGAAGTAGGTAAACTGGTAAGAATTGAAAAGCCAGATTGGTAAGAATTGAAAAGCCAAATTTTTTATTCTTATAGGAGACTAAGTTGGAATGGGTTCATGATAGGATATGCAGCTTGTTGTGGAATTTGGATGGGTGTGAATGGACAATGAAGGAATTGAGAGGTGCATCAGGGGGTTTGCTTTGTGTTTGGGACAAACTAAAATTTGTTAAGACAGGGGAATTCATAGGTGACAGGTTTTTGGGCATATCAAAGGAATGGGGATCGACAAAGGAGAAGTGTTATTTGGTGAATGTGTATGCTCCACAAGAGAGACAGAAAAAAGCACAGCTATGGGATGAGCTAATGCATATGATTGTTGAAGTGGGTGGCCGATGGTTGGTTGTAGATGATTTTAGTGCTGTGAGAAGTATGGAAGAAAGAAGGGGAAGAATAGAAGACAATTCAGTGATGGGGGAATTCAATGCTTTTGTTAAGACAACAGAACTTGTTGATTTGAGATTGGTGAATAAGCGTTTCACATGGTATAAACTAGATGGTTCATCCATAAGTTGATTGGATAGATTTTTGATGACTTTAGAGATGTGTAGTATGGGTGGTGAATGGATGCATAAAGGGTTGGAGCGAACTATTTTCGATCATTGTACTATTACGTTGACAACTAGATAAGTTGATTGGGGCCTAAAGCCATTCAAAGTATTAGATGCTTGGTAACAACATCCAAATTTTAAGAGAGCAGTTGAGGAAGCGTGGAGACAGCTAAAGGTGGATGGTTTTGTAGGATATAAGTGTTTACGGAAGCTAAAGCTGTTGAAGGAATTTTTAAGGGGTTGGAATAAAAATGTGTTCGAGGATATGAATGCTCATTTTGATAGTATGATAAGGAAGATTGAACAAGTGGATTTGAGGAATGAAGATTTTGAATTGAAAGATTTTGAAGTGGAGCAAAGACAAGAAGGTCTTCGGGAGTTGTGGTCAATTTTGAAGAAAAGGGAAGCTATATGGCAACAAAAAATCTAGGAGTACTTGGGTGCAATTGGGTGATGCTAATATGGGATTTTTTCCCATAGAATTGCTGATGGAAGGAAGGTTCAAAACAATATTACATGTCTTTTCTATGATGGTAAGTGGGTGGAGGAACCAAATGTTGCAAAGAATCAAGTAGTTAACTATTTTCGGCAGTTATTCAAAGGGGATTCCTAGGGTAGACCCAAGCCAGGTGGTATTCACTTTAGGCAAATATTAGAGGAGCAGAAGGAATGGTTAGAAAGGCCATTTACTACAAAGGAGATTGAAGACGGATTGAAGAGTTGCGATGGGCATAAAGCATCAGGGTTAGATGGGTATAATTTCAATTTCATCAAATTTGTTTGGAATATTTTCAAGGATGATTTTATTGGCTTTTTTCAGGAGTTTCATCAGCGTGGCAAGTTAGTAAGAGGATTACATTCATCTTTTTTAACTTTAATTCCCAAGAAGCTTAATCCGTTGGAATTAAAGGATTATTGGTCTATTAGTTTGATTAGGTGTATTTATAAATTGTTAGCTAAGGTGCTAGCTAACAGATTAAAGATTGTTATGTCGAGTATTATTAGTGAAACTCAATATACATTTTTGGGGGGACACCAATTGGTTGATATTCTGTTAACCTTGAATGAAGTTGTTGATGAGGCTAGGAAGAGGAAACAACATGCTTTTGTTTTTAAAGCAGATTTTGAAAAGGCCTATGATTGTGTCGATTGGTCGTTTTTGGATTGGATGATGGATAGGTTTGGATTTGGGATTAAGTGGAGAGGATGGATCAAGGAGTGTCTCTTAACAGCAAGAGTTTCGGTTCTTGTAAATGGAACTACGACAATGGAGTTTGAGATAGGAAAGGGATTAAGGCAAGGAGATCCTTTGTCTCTTTTTCTTTTCTTGATGATTGGTGAAGGATTGCATGGTTTAATTAAAAAGGTAGAGATGGAAGGATTGTTGCATGGTATTGAGATCGGCAATCGAGGGTTGGTAGTTTCTTTGCTTCAACTTGTGGATGATACTATTATTTTGGGTAGAACAAATAGTAAGAATATTTTTATGGTTAAAACCATTTTAAGATGGTTTGAATTGATGCTCAGGTTGCAGATTAATTTTAGGAAAAGTAGTGTTTGTGGTCTAAATGTGTTGGAGAGGTGGTTAAATGGGGTAGCAACTATTTTAAGTTGTGGATTGGGGAAATTACCATTTATTTACTTGGGCATGCTTGTGGGAGCAAAAAGTTGTGGGATCCAATTATACATAAAGTTCGTGCCAAACTTGTCGTCTAGAAGTCCGATATACCTTTTTTTGGGGGTTGCATCACTTTGCTCAATACGATACTTTCTGCATTAACTACTTTTTACATGTCTTTGTTTTTAATGCTAAAATCTGTGAGTTTTGAATTGACTAGGATACAGAAGGATTTTTTATGGGGTGGGGCTGAGTTAAAAGAGGAAGATTCCATGGGTTAAGTGGGAGTATGTGTGTTATAGTACGGAGAAGCGAGGGTTGGGGGTACCAGATTTGAGTAGGAGGAATTAGACATTATGAGGGAAGTGGTGGTATAGATTTGGTGAGGGTGTGGAGAATTTATGGAAAAAGGTGATAAGAGAAAAATATTATGGAGGCAGGAGGTAGATATTACTGTAGTGGAGAATTGGAAGGTGTCTAGAGTCCGGAGGAATGTCATTTGGATAGGTGGGATTTTTGTGAGGTTAAGAGAAATGTTGGTGAAGGGGTTTCGATGGGGGGTTGGTGATGGACGAAGGGCTAGGTTTTGGAAAGATATTTGGGTGGGTGATAAGTCTTTAAGTGAATTATGTCCTCGATTGTTAGCGTTGAGTGCTAATAAAGAGAGTGTGGTTAGTAACATGGGTTTTGGGAGGGGGATAAGTGGTGTTGGCAAGTAGAATGGCAAATGGGGTAAAAGGGGACAAGAGAGGGATGAGGAGGAGTTGTTTTGGGAGGTGTTGGGTAGGGTTCAATCAAAGACAAGGGTGGGAGATTGTTGGAGGTGGGTGCATGACCTTGAAGGAAGGTATGTAGTGAAGAAGGCCTATGAATTTTTAGCTCTTAGGGAAGCTGTTCTTCAGGATTAGTTTTGTACGATGGTTTGGTGCAACTTAGTGCCTTCAAAGGTGGCATTCTTTGGGTGGAGATTATGTCTTGATTGACTTCTAACTAAGTTGAATTTACAAAAAAGAAGGGTGAATATGCATGGGGAGGGGTTATTGTGTAGTCTGTGCAATGAGAGGGTGGAGGAAGTAGACCATTTATTTTGCACATGTAAGGAAGCTTGGTTAGTTTGGGCAAAGGTGTTACATTGGTGAGGTATAGAAGTTGTGTTGCCAAATAAAGTGGAGGGAGTTGCAGAGTTTTTTTCGATATAGCTTGGGTAAGATAGTGGGGAAGGACATGAGTTCTTGTATTTTTCTTATTGTCTCTTGGTAGTTGTGGTTTTGGAGGAATGCTTGTGTGTTTCAAAATAATGGAAGTTATAGGGAGAGAATGTTGCATATGGTACAGGTTAAATAATTTATTTGGGTTAAGAATAAGTTATCTGATTGTGTTTTCTCATTCTATGAATGAAAGGTTGATCCAGTTGGCTGTGCTTTGGCAATGAGAACATTCAAATCTCAATTGAAGAGGTATTGGAAGCAGCAACAGGGTCACGTTTAATGTGTACATTGGAGGCTTGCTTTCTATGATGGTTGTTGGAATTTTGTAGATTAGGTGTATGATTTTTGGCCGTGTCCATTGTGCTTGTTTCAAACTTTTTTAATTTTGTAAATGGGTTGGAGTACATTTTGTACTCCAAATAGTATAATAATTTTCACTTTACTGATAAAAAAAAAAAAAAGATTTAAGACAAAATTGGAAACTTCAATGCTAGATGTTTAACGTATAGTGTTGATGCCACGAACTAGTGTCGACACCACACCCGTGCCGGGACTCCCACCTCTTTTGGCAATTTCTTAAATGGTATAATAGCAGATTTGGTCCTCCAGATTTTATATAATTAGCAATTTGATTCTAAGACTTAAGATTCATTCATTTAGGTCCCAACAAGGTGCCTTTCTTCTTGTAATTCAGTCCCTCAACTTTTAAACGATATTTAATTAATCTCAAAAACTCCTAATATTATCCATTCAAGTCTTTTTCTAAACAAATAATAAAAACAATGTAAAATCTATTGAAAATCACATATTACCCTTGCGAATAGTAATAAAATCAAGGCTAAAATAATAGATTAAACCATATAAAAATGCTTCTTATCAAATTCCCCCAAACTTAAGTTTTGCTAGTCCTCAAGCAAAATAAAAAGACAAACTAAACCTAACTCATTTTCACAGGAATCACAATGTACTTAATATATGTCACAAGCCTTTAAACTCCTAGTTCACTTTAGTGAACGAGTTGTGTCTCGTGAGGGTTTTCAATGGATCTATCCGCAAAATCACAATACAAGAATGCAACTACATGATATGCATGCAAAGGAAATTTAGGAATTAAAATTCAATTAGATACAAAGTCTCAAATATTCAAGAGTTTTCATATATTCACTTAACTTCAAATACTCCATCCTATTCTTCACACCATTTATCAAAAAATTTAATTCATGAGCACTTAGTGTGTGTGGAAATTCATAATGAGAAGTTTTCGAATTTAGATCTTCATGCTTTAGCATTTTTTATTTTTTATTCATATTTATATTTATTTATTATTATTTTTTAAGTTGAGTTCCCTTAGGCTTTCTAAGTTACCCATGTAACGAACTTTTTGCTAATGGCTCCTAAACTAGTTGGCTTTAGGGCATTAGGTGAAGAGACACCCTTAAGAACATGCTTACTCAAGTAACAAAGGTCATAAAACATTTAACTCTTTTTTTTTCTTTAAGCCATACAACACATTTTTCCTAAAGTTATCACTTGTTTTTTTGACATGAATACTAACATTTGTGATGAAAGCACCCAGTTAATCAACAAGTCATAAACGATTAACTAGTCATAAACTTAGAGTGCTTTGCATTCTCATACTTTAAGTCACTCTTTGATGTGAAAGCTGACATGGGTCTCTTGCCCAACCTTTGGTTATTGAGCAACTAGAAACATTGGACTAGAAATTAACAAAACTTTTTTTTATATGCTTCTTTTTCTTCTCACTCTTTTCTTTTTTCTTTCTATTCCTTTATGTGCTTTCTAGGTGCTACTATGTCTTTCTTCTAAACTTCTCACTACAAGCTTGTGCTCAAGTGAAATATAATACTCATGAACTTAAACTTTATCACAATGGTGCTATTTTTCAGATTTTTGTATTTTTCAAATAGGGCACTTGTGAATTTCTAACTCCTAAATATTTAATTTTTTGATACTAAATGATCAAATTCCTAAAAAAAACTTGTTTCCTAAAGAAAAAGAAAAAATATGTTATGCAAGGAACATGAATGTGATCTAATGCAAATATGGGTATCAAAATATATGTCCCTCCCCCAAACTTAAATCAAACATTGTCCTCAAGTTTAAAATAAATAAGTAAAGGAGAAAGGAAACTTCCCTAGTTTTATGCACTTGAAGATATGAAGTTAAATTTTGTAGTTGAAGTGCCTTTAACGTCCATGAGACTTGAATTTCCCCCAAGCTTGTGCACTAACTTGGAACCCTAAGAAAAAAAAAAAAATAAATCAATAATAAAAAGAAACTAAAGAAAAATAATAATGAAGAAAAAGAAAGTTTAACACCTAGGTTGCCTCCCAAGAAATACTTAATTTATAGTTATTTGCTTGACTATCTCAAATGATTATCCAAGATTGCTTAGTTCAGTGGTGGTCTTGTGTTTGTTGCATCCACTATTCTCTTGGTGAAGTCACACATTTTCATAAACTTCATGTCAATTTGGAGGCTCTTCATTAAAAAATTTAGTGCATGAATTGGGTTTTCGTGGATTTTTGAATTTTGGCCTTCTTGATTTTTAGCTTGGTGGAGATGCTTCCGAATAATGTCCTTCCTTAATGGTCTTTTCTTTGACCTTGGTTCCTTGTTGTTGCACAATATACTTTTTATGTGGACTTTTAAGTACTTTTTCTTGCAAAACCTTATCAACCATCTTTCCATTAGTGTCAGTTGCAAAACACTTCTCAATATCATTAGAAGGATATTTCATAGCTTCAAAAACATTAAATGTAACATGTTCATTCTACACTCTAAGAATTAATTTTCCTTCTTAAACATCTATTAACACTCTATTAGTTGCAAGAAAAGGATGATCTAAAATAAGAGGGACCTCGTAGTCTTCCTCTATATTCAACACTATGAAATCAATAGAAAATATAAATTTATCTACTTTTACTAGAACATCTTCAACTATACCCCTTGGATGCTTGATAGATCTGCCTGCTAATTGAAGAGATACATTAGTTGCTTTTGGCTTTCCAAGTCCTAATTTGGTAAAAATAGAAATATGCATTAAATTAATACTTGCTCCCAAATCACATAAAACTTTATCAAAATGATAATTTCCACTAGTGTAAGGAGTTGTGAAACTCCTTAGATCTTTTAATTTATGAGAAAGCTTGTTTTGTAAAAATACTGAACACTCATTTAATCTCACCGTTGCAAATTCTTCCAATTTCCTCTTATTTGTCATAATATTGTTCAAGAATTTTGCATAATTTGGCATCTGAGCTATTGCATCTACAAAAGGAATGTTAATGTGCAATTTCTTAAGCTTATCAAAAAATTTACCAAATTCTTTATTGTACTGCTGCTACTTCAATCATTGAGGAAAAGGAATAGGAGGCACATATGCCTTGATTTCTTTGGGCTTGGGTGGTTCTTGAACTTCTTTATCTTTCTTGGGAATTTCTTCCTTTTCTCTTTTGATTCACTCATCATGTCTTGCTTTCTTCGAATTTGTTTCCCATTTCTCAAAGTTATGGCATTTTTCTATCCTTTGGAATTTATCTCTATATTGCTAAGTGAAGCTCCTTGGTTTTTTCTAGAAATTACATTTGTTAACTGACTCACTTGAACCTCTAAATTCCACATTGATGCACCTTGGTTCGAGACCACTCCTTCCAAACTTTTAGTAGCTGCTTCTAGATTTTCAAGCCTTAATTCTTTGATAGCTATATCCTTTTTTAGCAAGTCCTCCAAATCTAACTTTTTCTTAGGTTGTTGCTAAAATTCTTGAGGTTGCTTTATAACATTCTAAGTTTACTCCATGAGAAATTTGGATAATTTTCCAACCAAGATTTTAAGTGTTGAAGTAGGGATTATTTTGTTGTCTATTAAAATTGCCACCAAAATTAGCATTCTCATATGATTGACTAAAGGAATTACTTACCTAACATTTAGTACTCACATGTCTTCCTCCACACTAGTCACAAGTGACATTCTGCACATGCATAGCAGAAACATTTAATTTATTGAATTTCTTATAGAGAGCTTCCACTTAAGTAGTTAGGACTTTGAGAGTGTTGATTTCATGTATTCCAACACTTCTTTTGATTGGTGTTCTTTCAAAATTCCATTGGTAATTATTTGAAGCCATCTCCTTTATTAGCTTATAAGCCTCTTTATGAATTTTACTCATTAATGATCCACCTATAGCTGTATTAATCATAGTATGGGTATTTGGAAATAAACCATTGTAAAAAGTTTGTACCTGTAACCATATAGGTAGACCATGATGTGAACACTTCCTAAGTAGCTCTTTGTATCTCTCTCATGCCTTATAAAATGGCGCCAAGTCAAACGGCATAAAAGTGGTGATATCGTTACACATCTTGGCAATTTTAGGAGGAAAGTACTTACAAAAAAAATTTGCTTGTCATCTTTTCCCAAGAAGTAATTGAGTCCAAAGGTAAGGAGTAAAGCCAATTCTTTGCCCTATCCCTCAAAGAGAAACATAAAAGTCTCAATCTTGTTGCATCTTCTAAGACTCCATTATACTTGAATGTATTACAATTTTCTAAAAATTTGGTAAGATGTTCATTTGGATCTTCATTTGACAATCCACCAAATTGAACTAATTGTTGAATCATTTGAATAAAAGTTGGCTTGATTACAAAGTTGTTAGCTTGTATTGTTGGTTTTCTTATACATGAGGCCACACCATCCATCAAAGGTGATCCATACTCTCTCAAGGTTCTTGCAATAGCTTCTTTTGCCATCTTGTGAGGTTGATTGATAGTTAAAGCTTCCTTCTTTTTATTCAAAAGATGAAAATTTTGGTCTATCTTAGGATCAAATGGTGCAAGTTCTATGTTTTCAGAATGAGTCATGCACTAACTTGCACACTTGAAAAGCAAATAAAAGAAGAAAAAAAAAAATCAAATTAAAACTAGAATTAATCTACTTTGATATTAATTAGAATCAATATAGTCCTTGACAATAGTGCCAAAAACTTGATGAGCTAAATTCACTCTAATAAGAGTATCAGTCAATTCAAGTAATATAATGATGAAAATAGAGTATCATTTCACAGAGACTGTAAACTAATTAAGTATCAAAATTAATTAATTTTAATTTTATTTAAATAGTTGAAATTAAATTATTTGAATAAAGTAACTAACTAAACAATTAACGAAAAACTATATTGACTTTGAGTAACACCAAAAGTTAAAATTTTAGGACATTCAATTTCACCATAATCAATCAATATATAATTTAGATTAATATACTTCTAAGGTATTTATTATTCATGTGACAGTGAGATTTACTATTCTATTTGATATACTTTCTCAAGTTATACTAAACCTATCTTCACTTATTAACTCATTATATATCTATGTGAATTAAAATAGATAAAGATGCATTATGTTCTATGAAATTCCTTAGTTTATGTAGAAAATAAAGTCTACTTATTACTAATACTACACGAATCACATTGGTTCATCTTTAACTTTCATTCAATTCATGGTATATATTATTAGAAGTTATTGCATAAAATCTTCTTTTGGTCTCAATTATACTCCAAATTAGTTTTAATGGTGAGCAATCATTAAAAAGTATTAAGAACAATAATATATACTCTACATAAAATAATAAACTTAAAAATATAAATATCATGAAATTCTATATCAAATTGACCATGCTACATCGTAGCCTTAGATGGCTAAATTAGTTCATAATGAAAGAAAATAAAATAAAAAATCCTATAATGAATGTAAGAGTATCCAACATCAAAAAATAAAATTCAAGGACAAGCAAAATTAGTTTGATGATATAAGATTTCAAACCTTGATTTTCTTTTGTTGTAGAATTCCTCTTAGTAGTCTTTCTCTTGGTCTCCTTTCCAAAAACCCTAAATTTGATTTTTGAATAGATATTTATAAAGTTTAAGAAATTCTATTAGAAAAAAAAGTAAGACTTGGGACAAAATTGGAAACTTCAATGTTGAATGCTTAATGTATAGTACTGACACCACAAATTAGTGTCAGCACCATACCTATGTCAGTTTTATTGCAATTTCTTAAATGATATAATAGCAGATCTGGTTCTCCAGATTTTATATAATGAGAATTTTGATTCTAAAACTTAACATTCATTCATTCATTAGGTCCCAAAAAGGTGCCTTTCTTCTTGCAATTCAGTCCCTCAACTTTCAAAAGATATTTAGTTAATCCCAAAAACTCCTATTATTATGCATAAGTCCTCTTCTGCACAAAAAATGAAAACAATGTAAAATTTATTGAAAATGATATATTATCCTTGCGAATAGTAATAAAATCAAGGATAAAATAATAGATTAAGCCATATAAAAATGTTTGTTATCAAACTCTAATACATCTCCCTTATTGGAGTATTGGAGTATTTAAGCCAACATATGTTAACATGGCAAATGACTATTTTAACCATTCAAATAATCCTTAAATAGAAAAAATGCTAAGTGGGCATTTATAAAATCAATTGTGTAAGCTCTTTTCCTTTACTCTTTGTTTTTCATCTAGTGGTTACTAAAAGAAGAAAAATTTAACAACTTTAATATACCTCCCCTCTTCTATTATTTAAGTCAACAGATACTAACATGGCAAATGACATTTTTAACCATCCAAATAATTTTTAAATAGAAAAAAAATGCTATGTTGGCATCGTAAAATATAAAATGTTAAAAGTTTACTATCTTATTTAGAAACTACTCAGTTTGTATCCTTTAAAAAAAAAAAGAAAAGGAAAAGCTTGTATCCTTATATGCACATTTTCTTGACATACTTAATTATTGTAAATTTTGATTATTTTTGTTAACTACATTAATTTTATGTATTAAGTGGGTCCACTCTTTTTTTTTTTCAAATAGACTCCATTTTTTTTTATGTGGGATCCACTCAATAATTTTTAAAGCTACGTATGTCTAACATATATCTCCTATAGCAAAAATATAATTTTTCAAAAATTTCACATAAGCATCTCTTATGTTTGCCTCATTTGTAGAGAATATTAAAAAATAGAAAAAAATGAAATAATTGATGGGGGATAAAATGCCAAAGTTAATTACTTAATGAATGTTATGTCACATAGTCAAAAAGATAATGAAACTCTTCAAAAAGTTAATAGAAAGACCAAAACAAAGCGAAAATCTCAAATTTTGGGGACTAAAATAAGCATTTATTTAGTTCAAAGACTAAATTCTGGATCAGTACCAAAGTTAAGGGACCAAAATAAGGGTTTAACCTTGTTTTTACTGACACAAAGTGTCACTAAAGCTCAATAGAGTTGCAAAACTAGCTACCAAATGCCTTCCAAACTAAAAGAAATTATAGTCCTTGAATAAAATGTTGTTTTCCCATCATTTTGCTAATTTTTGTCTTCCTCTTTTAGATTGTTTCACTACTGGAAAATGGAGCATAAGCGACAAGAACATATTTGACAATCAAGAGGCCGTCGATTATATATCCATAATCAACAACACATTTGTCGAATATGAATTATTGTCAATTATGATGGGCTTTTTTCTTCTTATTCGACAGCATTCATATTCGATAGAGAGGTTGTCGAATATGTGTGCATATTCGACAGAAACATTCTGTCAAATATGTATAATCAACAGCATTAATATTGATTATGTGAGGAAATGACGACGTTTCCTTTGTATATTCGACAGCATTGCTATCGAATATACTCATTGATAACCCCCTCATTGCCCTTTGTTCCCCATTTCTTTTTCTTCCTTTACAGCAATCTGGTTTGTTCTCTGGCGTTGTTCTTGTTGTCGCTGTTGTTGCTTCTTATCGTCGAGGCCCTTGTTGTTGGAATCTCCACACCAGTGATGGTAATGGTGAGTTGGCCCCTCTCCTGGTCGATCCTTGGATTTACAGTCGGCATTTGCATATTTCCTTGTAGATCCATGCCTTTTTGGTCCAGATCCATCACCTCTAAGCCACCACGCCTCCATCACCTTTTGATTTGTGCCTTTTGCAAGTTGCTGCCCGTGACTGTGAGTTTTTTTTTTTTTTTTTCGTTTTTGTTGTTGGTTTTCCTTGTTTTTTTCCTTGAATTTGAGTTTACACGACCCTAATTTTCATTTTTTGTAGGTCAAAATCTAGCTTTTACCACATTCATTGCCTCCATAGCCCACTGGTAGAGGTAATTGAGATTTTGTGATTTTTTTATATAAAATTATACTGTCTCATTTGTAGATTAGTGTAAATTATTATTACTATTGCATGAATTGTTAGTGGATTGTAGTTATTTTTTTTTCAAGTTTTTGAGATTGAAATTTGTACGTTGCTTGAAGAGGTTTTTTTACTAAACTTGTATATACAAAGTTATGGATTTTAGATTATTAAGTTTGAGATTAAGGTTGAGATTGATATTTAGATTGAGGTCTAAATATCTATAATTATTGAAATAGAATAATATTTATATTGAATTTCTATGGTCACAAATTTGTTATTTATTTCAAATTAGCTTAATCTAAGAGATTGATATTGAGATTGGGATGTGCATTATTATTGAACTAAAATGATATTTAGATTGAATTTTTATATATCAAATTGTTTATTTCAAATTATTGAGATTGAGATCGGTATAGTAATTAAACTAGAGTACTATTTATATTTAATATATATATTTATAAAATTATTTACTTGAAATTATTTACATTGAGATTAATATATGTATGATTGTTGAAATATAATAGCATTTCTATATATTGAATTTATATACATAAAGATATTTAATTTAAAATTTTTAAGATTAAGTTAAGATTAACATGTGTGGTTATTGACATGTATGGTTATTAGTTGATATGTTAATATACTTTGTCAAATTGAAATTCAAATTAGGTAATTAAATGATGGACAACCGTAGTTGGATAGATCAACGTGTAGATGATAATGGTTTTGTTACCGATGAATTTAAAGCGGGGTATAATTTTTTGTGAGATTTGGATTTTCAAGACCGAAAGCAAAATCAGAGATTAAGTGTCCTTATTTGAAATGTAAATGTAGAAAATGGGGGAACCTTAAGGTTGTCTCCATGCATTTGTGTAAGCATGGGTTTATGAATAACTATTATACATGGTATGTTCATGGAGAGATATCTAGCAATATAGTAAAAAACTTTGAAGGGGAATCTTCTAATATGGAGTTTGTTAGAGATGCGGTAGATGCATTATACCATGAAATGGTAGTTGATGCAATGGGTGCACAATCTGAATATAATGAGGGGCTAATGGCTGAGGAGCCAAATAGTAAGGCAAGAGAATTTTATTATCTCTTGCATACTGCAGAAGTTCATATAGGTGCCGGGGGATAGGATGTTACAGTACTTTCATGGATGGCAGAAATGCTAAACATGAAAACTTTTTATAATATGAGTGCTACTAATTGGGAGATGGCATTGTCATTGAGTTGAAAGTTGTTGAGTCCAAAAGACCAACAAAAGGTGCCAAAGGATTTCTACAGTACCAAAAAAATGATAAATATGCTTGGACTTGGGTACAAGAAATTGATGTTTGTGTCAATGATTGCTTCTTGTACTGTGATGAGTAAAGTAAGAACTTAACTGCTTGTCCAATGTGTGGAGAATCTCGTTATGAGCCAAGAAATATGGCTGCTATAAGGCAAAAAGATGTTCTGAGGAAATCTTTGTGGTACCTTCCAATTACCCCAAGATTGCAGCGACTATACATGTATAGGAAAATAGCAGAGCACATGACAGGGCATTTGAAATGCCGTGAGGATGTGGATGAAGTTATTCATCTTGCGAATAGTGAGGCATGGAAACACTTTGATGGTACCCACCCAACATTTGTTGAGAAACCTAGAAATGTTAGACTTGGCCTCTGCACAAATGGTTTCAATCCATTTGGTTGCTTTGCAACACCTTACTCTTGGTGGCCTGTCTTTCCTATAATGTACAACTTTCCTCCTAAATTGTGTGTGAAGTCAGAACATACATTTCTTGCCATGATAATTGATGAACCTAAAAGTCTAGGAAAAAACATTGATGTCATGCTTAGGCCATTAATTGATGAACTTAAGGAATTGTGGACAAATGGGATTGAAACTTATGATAGTTTCAGGCAATAGAATTTTATCATGAAAGCTGCATTGTTATGGACTATAAGTGATTTTCTAGGTTATGGCATGTTATCTAGATGGAGCACACATGGGAAGTTGTCATGCCCTTATTGAATGGAGAACACTGAGGTTTTTCAACTTCAATATGGGAGGAAAATATCATTTTTTGATTGTCATTGTCAATTTCTACCTCCTAAACATCCATTTTGTAGAGATAAGAAATTTTTTTTTTCTTAAGAGTTGAGAAAAGGCGTCCCCCCCCCCTTCACGACTAGATGGTACTTTGATGGAAGAAAGGGTTAATCAGCTCCCTGACATAGTTTTTGGCCAACCACTTCGTAAACATTCAATTGCAGGATTTGGTATTTTCATAATTGGGTGAAACATAGTATATTTTGGGAATTGCCATACTAGAAGGATTTATTGATTCATTATAACCTTGATGTCATGCATTGTGAGAAGAATTTTTTAGATAACATTAAAAATATTGTCATGGATGACAAGGGTTGTATGAAGGATAACACGAATGCTAGATTGGATCTACAACTGTATTGCAATAGATCTGAATTAGAATTGATACCTCAAGATGATGAAACAGCTATAAAACCCAATGCTACATATGTTCTTACTCGAGAGCAACGAGCTCTTATCTGTTAGTGGTTGAAGGAATTGAGATTCCTAAATGGGTATGCATCCAACATAGCACGATGTGTTAACATGCAGGAACTTCGATTTGTTTGGGATGAAAAGCCATGATTGTCATGTATTCATGTAGCGTCTCTTGCCAATTGCTTTCCGTGATTTCCTCATAAATGAAGTTGGGGTCCCTTAACTGAGATTAATAACTTTTTTAGAGCTTTAACTACTCCGATTATTCAAGTCAGTAACATGAAGATGTGGGAGGAAAAAATTGTCGAGACCATTTGCAAGTTAGAGAAAGTATTCCTGTCAGCATTCTTTGACTCGATGGAGCATTTGGCTATCCATCTACCATATGAGGCAAAAGTTGGAGGACCTGTCCAATTTCGTTGGATGTATCCTTTTGAAAGGTATATTTCTTCTAATATACCTTTGCATCACAATAACATTCATGAGCATTTTTAATAATTTAATGTTATTAATTAATTTTCTTATTTGTTTAATAGAAAAATGCATGACTTTAAGAAAATAGTGTTGAACAAAAATCATGTTGAAGCTTCGATTTACGAGTCTAATATTCTTTCATAAATTACCTTCTTTTGCTCGCATTATTTTGGATCTGACATAAAGACAAGATTGAATCATCAACCAAGAAACATTGTCTGCGTGAATGATGATATGGATAATTATTTGTCTATCTTTAAACATCGAGGTCAACTATTAGGTGGAAAAATGCGTAGGCGTGCACTGTCACCCAAAGAATTAAAGGCAACAGAACTTTATGTTTTTCTTAATTGTGAAGAAGTTAATCCATGGATTGCGTATGTTCTCTAGTTCTAACTTTCATTTTTTTAAGTTACTAGTATGTATAGATTGTTTACTCCAACTTCTTCATGTAGGCTTTTTGATTATCAAGTATGTTCTAGTCTATCAGACGATCAAGTTCAAATCAAACGGCAACTTGAATTTATTCCTTGGTTTAAGACAACGGTAAGTAATTTATTTTAATAATTTTTATTATTAAGATCTCAATTTTTATATATTTTAGGGTTAAAGACTAAATATTTTATAACAAATATAGGTGCATAGTGGAAGATATGGGGTTGATTCTCACCTTTTGCCTTTAGTAATTGGCCCAGTTAGTAACGTTAGGGTATACAATGGTTATTGGGTTAATGGATTCCGATTTCATACTATCGCATATGAACAAAATAAAAAGACCATGAATAGTAGTGTTTGTGTGAAGGGAACCACTTTCAATGATGATTCAGATTATTATGGGAGTTTGAAGGAAATAATTGAGCTTTAGTATTTTGACTCATACGTTCATCAATCAGTGATTTTGTTCAAGTGTGAGTGGTATGGTATCAACAAAGGCATTGTGGTCCATCCGACATCTAGTATAGTTGACATAAATCTTCGGTTTAAATTACAAACAGATGAACCATTCATATTGGCTAGTCAAGCTCAACAAGTGTTTTATGCTCGTTATCCATCTTAAAATCCTTGTAGAAAAGGGTGGTTTGCTGCATGTAAGATTAGAGCAAGAGCAATAATTGACACTTCATCGTTGAGTGATGGTGGAAATGTTTATTATCAAGATGATGATCCTCCTATGCCACAATTGGTGCAACCCTATCATGTTTCACTAGCATCTCAAGGAGGAGAACAAGTGGTGATTAGTGAGGTCATGCAATTGCCATATGTGGTAGAGGAAGA